GCCTCTGAGTGTCACACTGCACCAGCACCAGAACTTTACAGCAGTGAAGTCGGAGGCAGATGAAGCCTGATAACAGATTCAGGCTTTAGTCTGGCCTGATATCATGTTTACTATATGTAGTATATCAGTATGCACTTCCTTAACTGCCCATATTGGCAGTTTTCAGCGAGCCTACTTTAACAGCATAGGCAAATTCCTCAAATTCAGTTATGGCTTTTATTTTTGGTGTGCCACCCCAAGATTTCCAGCAGCCCCATCTGGCCACCCCTAGGATAAAATTTCTGGAGTATTTCTGGAGTGAATCTCACTGTTATTGCCAATACTGGTACATTGCGACACCCCTAGTCTGTCCCCAACTTCAGCTAAAGTGGTATTTTCCTTGCTTGCTGATTCAACTCCACTTCAAAGTGTGTCATATTCAACACACAGAGAAACATTTTTGCTGTTGTTAACAGACGATCGTGCAAACCAGCTGCAGCTTCCCTTGAAAAACAAGTGGTGTCATGACACAGATTCAGCAGCTGATGTGAACCTTCAGCCCAAGAAGATTAGACGATGTCAAGGCAGACGGATGATTCACCGTGGAAACTACCTGAAATGGCTCCTGACGTGGATTTATAACACTAAGGGCCACTCACGATGGAATGCATCGTATTAAAACATTATTCTGAAAGGATGTAAAACTGCATCAAGCACAGACAAGTAGCGCTTGTTCATGACGCAGAAAGCCTGTCTGACAATCCCATCCAGACAGCTGGTGGGGTCAGGGTGTGGTTGGGTGGGGGTGTGTAGTCAGAGCTGATAGACTGGCTGCAGAAAGCTGAGCAGGGCACGGAGGGGTTTGAAAAAGTGAAGAACCAGGTGCTTTTAAGTAAAACAAGGAACAAAGACATAGAGGGGAGATTCTAACTCTATTCTAAAGTCCAGTTTCAGTGCTTGTGTGTGAGGCAGCTGACTGAAAATGAATGTTTGCTCTTTAAATGGCTGAGTCTGTGAGCAAACCTATATTAAAAGGAACAAAAGATTTGTTTCCTTTCAGTGACACATGTTGCTATGTGGGCCAAAGTCCCTATAACCACTGGGTGGGGAGGTAAGTGATGTTTCTGTAATAAGGAGACTGACAGGTTTTCAGCTCTGTTGCTGTCAACTGTTCAACTATTACATGCACACAATGTCATTTCCTGAGAAATCCACCAGCGACTCATATTAATGAAACTTTCACTTCATAGAGAGCTCACTCATAATCTGTGCTATCTCTTCATTCGTAACCAGGACATTGTTTATGACAACAGGCATGTACTGGGTATCATTTTAGCAATTTAACCAAATAAAAACAAACTATCCCTTATTATTTTTGCCTTAAATGTTTAAAAAAATGCTTTTAAACTTGTGCATTTATAGTTTAAATCCATTTAGGAGACAAAACATGACAAACAGCTTCCCTGCTTCATTCTGTTTAAGAGGTTTGTGCCTAATAACAACTGAAGGAGTACCTGAGGCACTAAGGCACACGTATTAACACACTTTAGAGACATTAAAATGTAAGGATACTTTTAAAACTAGTTGATTAATACAGTATGTTCATCCATATCATAAGCAGACTAGGTGTTGGAAGACTGTGTGGTAGCTATATGTCTGTTCCAGCAGCTTCTAATATCAAGTAAAGTAATAAAGTTTTTGCATGCTATAATCTTATCTATAAATCATGCAGACTTTACACTTTTGCTGGCAGTTGTTGTTTGATGTGTTTTTCCTTTTGTTCCAGACCTCCTTCTGTTTGGATTCATTTTTGCACAGCATGGAAATTCATCAGCAGATTATTTTCATTGTAATACCACAAAAATAATGTGACTTTGACTAAAAAAAAAAGTAGACTTGATGGTCAACAGTTTGCTAAAAAATAAAAAAATAATGGCTGCCAGAGATGGAAGGAAAATACACTCATAGCTGTTAAACGATTAGCTGTGATGTATAATAAAAACTGATTTGTAGTAACATACAAAACCACTGGCAAAGTTATTTTAAACAATCATCAAACTCACTTCTCTGTCAGTCACAAACGCACTGCTCTGAAAGTCTATATCATATGCTCGGTTTCGACACCAAATGATGAACATACGCCGTTAGATGATTCAGGAAACATTTGGATACTCAGCCTGTTAACATTCCCAAACAAACCTACCTGTTGCCTGGCTCCTGTTCCGGACGTCCCGCAGATCTCTGCGATCCCCCTCCTCCTCCTCCTCTTCACGCCGGGCTTCAGCCATCGGGGTTTAAAACAATGTAGAAATCAATAACAATAAATAACACCAGAGATCCTCTACTGGAGATGTAGCGAGCTCATCTGTCTCCACGGTCGATAAACCCTGGGTTAGTGTCCTGACCACTGGAAGCTTCAGTGTGTCCTGCCCACAGCAGCTCTCTCTCTCTGTGAGTGTGTGTGCCCTGCAGTGGGCGGAGGTGGTGCCACTCACCGTCAGGACCCCCATCAGGCTGCATGTGCGCAGTCACAGCAGGATTAACACACACTCATGATATGATCTCATCAGGGAGGGAGAAGAGACCAATGGTTAGATATGCACACCTCACTTTTTTCAACTTTTAAATTTGTCACTAGTGTATGTGATTTATTTTGTGTGGTGTCTGTGTATGTATCTGTATTTGATATCATGCATGCTCTTTTATTAACAATGTTGTGTTATTGCGGATGAGAGGGAGGGTTTGTGAAAGCTTATTCTGTTTATTTAAAAAAAACAAAGAGCCAATAGTCGAGTAAATTCAACTTTATTTATTTAGCACTTTAAACACAGAGTTGATCCAATAAGGTGTTCTTACAGCACACACAGAGAAAAGCAAAAACAAAAGAAAGAAGAGAAACACAAAAAATGTTTAATAATAGTAATAAAATAATTAATGACATAGAATAAATTATAATAAAATAATAGTACAATAGAAAAGTGTATGATGGTTTAAACAGTTTTAAAGCTCCCAACATGAAGTTGTGTTTCAAAGCTGTCTTCATACTGCCAGGAGTGCAATTTTTGTGTGTGTATATATATATGTATGTATATATTCTTCACTGTGGTATTGTTACTTTTACTCAAGTCAAAGATCTAAGTAGTTCTTCCACCACTGGACATCTTTATAACAACTTCATCTGAATACATGGAAACACAACTGTGGGAAAATTGCAATTCAACTTTTCTTCCACAAGATGTCGCTACAGACCTGGTCGACTGTAAACGAACTTTAAACAATAAATAAATGTCTCTTTCTCATGTAAACTAGGGGCAGGATTTTCAGATAAGTTCTGCTTTTTTTTTAAGATAAGTTTCCTTCTAATTGAGCTAAATATATTCTTCAATCAAGCATAAATGCAGGTTCTGCTATTTACATAACTCTATAATTTCAGGCTGAATCACAATGATCATGATTATGATTCAGAGATAATGAAGCCTACAGTATGAAGGGCTTTAAAGAGGCACTACGCCCAGAAATAAAGGTAAACATTGACGACTTCCTTCCAAATCCAAAAACTGGAGTGCTAAAAACCAAATTTGTGATGTGACAGGGTTTAAAGCCTGGAGCTGCTCCATAGACAATGAATGATGAAAGATGTTCTAGATGACACTGAGAGCAGGGGAATGTTCTGAGTACATGGGTAGCCTACATACAACAGAATAAAGCTCATTTGGGTATAAAAAAAGAAAACATCTTGTGGGTCCACAAAATCAGGCTCCCATTCATTGTCTGTGGAGCAGCTCCGGACTTTATACTCAATGACATCACAAGTTTGAGACTCACTTCTCTGGTTTCTGGCTTTGAGAGAGAGGAGCTCATGTTTTAAAAAGATAACTGAACTTTCCTTGGCCATGGAAACAACATATTGGTATTCTCCTTTAAGCCTTTGAAACCTGAGCAAACTGGCTTGATTTCTTTTAAAAACAGGGAAAGAAGGCAATAAGCAAGGAAAAAAGAGGTGACCCGAAAAATTTGCAAGAAATTGTTAAAAATGAGAAAATTAAAAACAAAAAAATTAGCAAAAAAAAAAAAGAAGTAAAAAACAAACAAACAAACAATGAAATGATCTGGAAAGTGTGCTTGAAATTATAATAATTATGTAACTGTAACATAATTTTAAAATATAATAAATAACAATAATAATAATGATAATAAATTAAAAATATTTTTTTAATTTCTTTTTTTCCAGGTTATGGGACTGTGACCTGTTGTTGCTCATTGCCTTTTTTTCACATGTTTTTGAAAGAAAACACACCCATTTACTCAGGGTTCAAATGTCTAAATACTTGCAAAAGGCATCTGAAAGCAGCACAAGAAAAGTGATGTCGCTCCAGCTTCCAAAGGGTTAAGGGTATATAATAAAATAAAGCTTTAATGTTAAATATACGAGTCAAAGAATGTCATGTCAACACGGATTTTAATTTCTGGATCAAATGACATTTAAAATGAGACTTAATCCATCACATACAGTAGCTGTATTCTTCCTGTCCTTGTACCTCATCTCGTTTGTCCAGCAGGTGGCGACAGACTGTAGAATTTTAAATCTGTTATTTTGCTCGTGTGTTCATGAAAGTAACCAACACCATGACTGATTAACAGCTCCCAAATGAGTGGGATTTGGCTGATCTTGTAATGCAGAAACAAGATTGTGCAATTCAGATTCTCAGATTACAGTTTAGGGAAAACAGAACCTGGAAAGTGTTTTTATCCAGAGGAGTGGCGCTGGTTGGAGAGCAAAACAAGGCAGGCTGTTGGTATTTGAGTGGATTAACCTTTTCAGAGTTTTAACCCCAAACATCACTAATATATGGGACATTATTGTTATTCATACTTGTGCTTTTATTCTTGCACTGAAGCCACTTCTTCCCTGTCTGGTTCTCATGAGGGAAACTGAAGAGCGCACAAACGCTCCACCAGCAGCAGCAGTGTGTGTGTGTGTGTGTGTGGGCCTGCTGTAACTCAGTGGGAGGAGCGTTCAAATGAGGATTAGTGCGGTTTCACCTATGTGTGTGTGTGCGTAAGTGTGTGCGCGCCGCGGACCAGGTTAAGTAGCTCGGATATAATATTTACCTCCGCGTACTGTTATGAAAGGAGAAACTATGGTGCTGTGACCCGGAGCGACTGTGTTGTTTATCCGTGGGAGGACATACCGAGTGTGTGTGTGTGTGTGTGTGTGTGTGTGTGTGTATGTGTATGTGTGTGGTGAAACCTGCTGGTCGACGTCGCTCTAACTGCTGTGCGCTCTTCACCATCCAACCGGAGGATCCGTCCGACGGTAAGAAACACAGACAGAAAGCTCCAAACACAACATTTAGTCTCGTTTACAGCTGTAGCTTTAACTTAAATATTATATTACAACATGACAGAGGCATTTCTGGTGTTGTTGGACCACGCGTGTGTGTTTTCTTTGACAGTTGCTGCCTGTGATTGACATGTGCGGGTGGGTGAAGGGTTGGGTTTCTCCACAGGTTCCTGCTGGCTTTACTGGGGGATTCCCAGTTGAAAAAAAAAATACTTTTAGTTTTGCATCCTTGTTGTAAAGTGAAAGAAGTGGAGAAACTAAGCAGTGTTGTGTCCTCACCATAGAGACAGACCCACCCTATCTCTAATCATAGCTCCCAGTTTTTGCAACCTCAGCCAATAAAGCAGTCACTGCTTAATAACATGTTTTCAAATGGATCTGGTTTCATAATCTTGCCGGAACCTGCAGTGCTCACGGCTTTATCCCTCATTGCTTGGAAAAAAATACATGTATCCACGTGCTGTTGTTGTGAGTTATTACACAGACACAGAGGAGAGGTCTGAGGTGCAGCCTACCTGCCCTGATTCACCTCCCATAAGGAGCTTTGAACTCAGATACCCATTGTGAGGCAGGCAGAATGCAGCCGGTGTCCAGTTACCAGCAAACAGCATTAAAGTTTCATGGCTGGCCATCTTGTGTGAGTGTCATTCCTTTACAGGTGTTCCCTTCCCACCTGATAAATCAATGTGATTCACAGTCAGCTGATGTAAACTGAGCTTTTTAAGGCCAGTTTCTGAGATGAAAAGATGTCAAACATAAAAGGCTAAAACTGTGTTGTTGTGCCGGTTTCTCTCAGAGGAACTATTTCATCCTGTGTCTGATTTATTACTCAGCTGCAGAGAGGTTATTTTTCCACCTTGTTGGTGTGTTTGTAAGTTAGCTGGATGTAACAACAGCCTGTTAACAGATGTTAAAGGTCCAGTGTAAAGGATTTAGGGAGATAGTTTGGCTGAAATGGAATATAAAATTCATAACTGTTTTCATTTGTTTATAATCACCTGAAACTAAGAATTATTGTGTTTTTGTTACCTTAGAATGAGCTGTTTTTATCTACATTCTCTTCCACAGAGTCCGCCATGTTGTTTCTACAGTAGCCCAGATTGGACAAACCAAACACTGGCTCTAAATTCACAGGCTCGTAATTAATTGTTTCGTATCAGGGAAATTAAAGTAAATAAAACTTCATTTCGACTGAGGGAAATGGTTTCAGCTTACAAAAATAGACAGGAGCTCTGCGTCGCTGCGACATGTAATTACTGGGAAATGTAACATGTTGTTACATTCCTGTTTGCATCATGTAATGCAAACGTAATACATGTTACATGTAATTTCTGGGGAAGTGCATGTTAGGTTGCGGCATCGGCTCTACATCAACGCAGAACCTACGCTGCAGTAGTATAAATCCCACTTAAATAGGGTCAGCCACCGAAGTTCTTGCTTGATATACTGGAGAAATTTAAGTATGTTGCAGTCAAGCCCCCAGGAACAGTACCAGGCTTTGAAGCCAATTATACACAGTGACCACATGCGCAATTACAACATCCAGGTCCGTCAGGTGATGCCATTGGGCTTCAAAAGACTGTTTCCCATTAACTTACTTAATGAAAGGGACATTTGTAAATGAGTGTATACATTTTTTTAAGTGTCACAGCCCATGTGAAACAACCTGTTTCACTATCAGAATTTAATCCATTTGGTCCAATAACATTTCTGAAGTCTAGAAGAGCCATACATAATATCCCCATTCAAGTTAGCGGAGGGCTAAACCAAAACTTAGCTGCTCAGCTACCATAAGCCTATAGCTACCATAAGCCTATAGCTACCATAAGCCTGCTTTATGGGCTCCACGAAATGGAAGATCTGGGTAATTTCATATCCCTGAAATTGAGCTTCTTTGGCTTCATTTGTTACTGATAAACTTTCGTAGGAATGAACGGGGCTCGAATTCCGATGCGGTATCCAGTTCTCTGCATACATCTATGGTTGCAATCAGAAAAGTTGGGCATTTGTTCACTGAAAAAAATGACTCAAAATGATCAGTTGATTATTGAAACAGTTTAATTTTATCACAGTGGACTGATCTGTTAATTACCTAACAGTTTAAACTCCATACATTTGGTTTGTTTAGACTTTTTAAACACAGTAACAGAGGGCATTTTTCTTGTACATTTCTCAAAACAGTTTTCTCTTGAATGCACTTCAATGAAACCAAATTTATTTCCTCTTATTACTTATATTGCCTTTTATCATATAGAGGTTTCCCAGTTGTCATAGAGATGAGTCAGTTGTTACTACAGGACCTGTATAGAGTTTGTTCATGGTCACTTTGGTCAGCCATGTTTTTCATGTGACTCCACACTTGGGTTACGTAATGACAGCTGAACTATCTGTCTCCTCTTCTTGTTCTGGTCAAACAGTTTGTTCTTTATCACGAGAACAAGTGTCCTCCTCAACAGTTTGCATGCCATCATTCAATGTGGCTGCTGTGGTTCATGAGGATGCTCTTTAAAGCCCAGTAGCACACCACCACTGACTCTTTCCTGCACTCTGAGCTGAGCCGCTCTCAGCAGGGAGGGATTTAAATATAACAGGGTTTCTCAGCAGAGTGACCACTTGAAAGGTTTTTGTAAATGTCGTCATTGTAAAGGATGTGAAATTATGAAGTTTTCATGATTGTAGGGAAGTCGTTTGGTGTGATTTCACCATTGTTTTTGACAAAGCTGCACTTATTTAGTGCTGTTTCATGGAGAGGTCTTGCTGAAGTACCGTCTGATCTCTAATGTTCATAATTGGTTACATGCTGCGGGTCTCTGCCTCATAATCAGCTCCACTTCAGAGACTAAAGCAAAAATGTGAATTTCTACGAATTTTCCTCATTTTCATAACGATGTCCTAAACATGAGTAGCATGAACGTAAACACTGGCATGCAGCAGAGAATGCGAGTGAAGCTGAAACTTTATGATATGCGTGTGTGAGGAATGTGTGGCTGATCAGTCATCTGCGTGATTAAATTAGATTAAAATCTCATTTAGTGGGAAATCTGTGTGGCTAACATCAGCTTTCAGACCTGCAACCAAGATATTCACACACAGGAGCTCTGTGAGCCTCTGTCGCTGCATGCCAGACTGTGAATAATGGTCATAGCCATGTGATTAGATGTATAGGATCAGGTCACAAGTTTGTGATTGTTCGGATTTGCTTCACCTTACTGAACTCAGTGCTACCGATTGAAAGTAGAGTTGTTGAATTAGAATAGCTTTTTCACTTTAGAATCATAAACAATAGAAAGTTAACCAATGTTTTATTGTAATTAATGCAAGACAGAAGTTAAAGGGACAGTTTTATTTATTTATTTGTTCTAATTTATTAATTTAAATAGATACATTTGGCAGAACTTGTGGGAAATTTAAGTGAAACAGGTGCTGCAGTCACCATACCAGCAGGTGTTGTAGTGTGTTAACCTGTCCCCCCATTCCCATCTCAGACACAGCCAGCTCAGCTCTGTCTCATGTTTGGGATTAGCCCCACCTTCCCCACCCATGCCCTGACGCTGACCCTAAGAAGTCACACACAACATGAAAGCTGTGTGGCAGTGGTGACCAGCTGTATTTTTTTGAAAATAAAATGTCACCGTAGCCTTTAATTTCACCTCTGTGTCCGTTAGCAGAATAGTTCAACATTGTGGGCTGCCTTGCCAATAGTGAGATGAGAGGGTTAATACCACTGTCATGTCTGTGTGGTTAGTATGAAGCTAGAGCTGGGGAGGGATTAACCATACTTAGCTTAAATACTAGAAACAGGGGTGAATGTCTAGTCCGGGTAGTCCAAAGGTAAAAGAATTTGTTGGGTCAAACAACCAAGATATAACGTGTGTTTAGGTGAACTGTATCTTTATATTTATGGTTATGTGAATGGTATCAGATGCATTCACTGTTTGCATGGACAAGCGGCCACCTTGGCTCTCTTTAAAGGCCTAGTGTGTAGGATTTTGTGGCACCCAGTGCTGAGGTTGCAGGACTTAAACTGCTCCCATGTGCTAAGTGTGTAGGAGAACTATGATGGCCGACGCAAAAACGTGAATGGTCCCATCAAGAGTTCTAGAGCCAGTGTTTAGTTTGTCTCTTCCTGGCTACTGTAGAAACAACATGGCGGACTCCTTGGGAGAGGACCTGCGACAATATCATATATATTTTCAGGTGATTATACACCTATGAAAACATAGTTATGAATATTATACCATTTCTGCCAATAGATACCCCAAAATCCTACACACTGGACCTTTAAGGCTGAAAAGCAATTCCAACACTCACTAATTAAAACGTTGTATCACATTTATTCAATTCATACATCAACAGAAATGCAACAGATACAATTTGTAGTTATAGAGAGGATAAATACTATATTTTTTAGCATACAAAAGTCAGGTGCAGTGATTTCCAGGAGTCTTTTCATCAGTGATATTGCCAGTTTTTACATTTTTGTTTGTGTACAGATTCGATATGTGTTAATGAGATAGCCTTGGGGCTATCTGGGGCTGTTGTCCCTATGCTGTCAAGCCTTTGCTAGGTCAAGCTATTGACATTTCGAATTTAGCTCCATACGAAAACATACAGACATCAGAGTGGTCAGTTGTGTTATTGTGTTAAAAGTTGGCCTACATCTTGGCCCATTTGTTGGCTGGCCTGTGTTCTAGTTAGCACAAAGAATCACCCCCGGCAAACTCTCTGTGACATCTTTTAAAAAAGCCTCTCTTTAGAGCGTAAAGAATAGAGATAGTAACTGAATCTGGCTGAACCACTTCTGTTGTCCAGGAATGGCCCAGAATTAAGGCACTAGTTATGTTCAGGCAGCCTGCAGTTTGTCATCTGCCACAGGAAGCATATGGACGTTAAGTAAAACACTTTGCATGAGGTGTAAGAGGCAGGTGTCTACTACATTAGTTTGCATCTCTTTTGCCTTGAATATTTTTGAG